TTCAAATAAATTAAAAGTGAATATCTTCGATTATTTCGACTTTTTCCGCAATGCCCCTTAAAATTAATTTCACCAAATACAACCGTACTCGATAAAGGACGACCTTGACGAAAGGAGCCTATAAAATGTATGTAAATTTCGAAAAAAAAAACGACTTTGAACTTAACACCCATAGAGTGAATATCAAACCCACATCATACCCCAAAAAGTGAATATCAATACATACATATAACACATAATACTACATCATGTAACAATGCAATCCGCACATAAAAAAATTCCACACTTCACGGAAACTTTTCAATTCGATTACTCATGGGAATTTTTTCGGTTATCTGCGCCGATGGCCGATAATAACGTGTATGTATATAAAAAGACATAACAATTTAATGAATACATACGTGTATTGCTTATTATTAGTGTTAAATGTTAACCGGTTATAAACTTGTTGAAATCATAACGGTTCGTTACATCGAAATATATACTGTTTAACAAACTGCGGCCTTGTTACTGTCTTTGCCATTGGCTTATCCGAACCAAATTTCAGAGACATATTATTGTTCCAATTCATGTTGCCGGTTACCAGTCGAGCGACCACCAACACGAACGAAAACATTAAAGGAGTATTTGTAAATTTAATTCGAATTCTGCCATAAAACACGCATTTCATTAGTCATTATTCGAATGTCATGGCATACGAGATAGAAAGAAACCAATTAGTCAAGGCTGAAGAAAGAAAACCAATTTACTAGTCCATTAAATTGCATTGCTCTCGTTGCATTTCACTCACACGTCCTATAAATTGGTAAGATTCCACTAAAATTTTTCGTTCCCTTTAAGAGAAGTAGTCGGAATAACAAGGCACAGTACTAAGAAGGCGGCCTTTTCCGTCATATTTTCTATGGTTTCTCTTCTTTTTTTTATATATATATATTAATGAGTTTTGAAAAGCGTATAACTTAAGCGCTTGGTTGCTGCAGATGCTGTTCCATACATCCAGTATCGGTTAAAAATGTTGGTTTCTTTACCTTTTTCGTTATTAACATATCATTGGTGTTTAATTCGTTCCATTTGTCGATACCCAAATCACCTGTAATAGAAATAAAAACGTTAGCAAGGGAGAACAACAGGGGAGCTAGGGCATGGAATCTCTACAAGATTATTCTAATAACGATTTGGTTGATGTATAATTACCAAGCGTTCTTGAAAACTGAAAAAATAAAATTTTGTTTTTCAATAGCCTCCGTATATAAAGGAAAATCGTTTATGACGAGTTTATTTGACTTTTTTTTTTTTTTTACTTTGATATGAGAATCCACAAGCAGTCAAAACAAAGGCTTATAAAGGGCGATATACAAGGTCTGCGACGTTTGTTCCCAGTAGTGTTCATGTCAATATGTCGGGCAACACCGATATAAATAAAATATTGAAAAAATAGCTATATACATAGTAGGTCTACGATAAAGCTTCGCAGACTTATAAAAAATTTCAGAACGTCTACAGTGTAAGTTCTTAATCAACATGAACGTCGTTGTTCGAAAAGACTAAAAAATTCATCGAATGGAAGCAATAGTGAAGCTAGTGCCAGTTTAAGGAGGTTGGAGACTTCTCATATCAGTCTACATTCAGTTTTTTTGACAAAGAACTCAAAACTTACAAAAACCACGTTCTGTATACTAATTCGTATTTTTGTGTATAGTTTCACGATAGTATTTTCAGATTAAGAAATCAGAGAATTATTCAATACTCTATTAAGCCCATGAAACGGCGTGCAGCGAGAAATAATAAATATCCAACCAGTACGTACGCATACTTTTTAGAAATTCTTCATACCTCATGAAAGGAACCTCTGCAAAGAAGTAAAGTGTTCGCCGCATTCCGTCTAAAAAAAAAAAATAATAATGATTATAAAACAATTGAATTTTCAATTTTTTTTGTGTGAAAGATAATTTAAAGCGAAACCGTCTGTAGTTAAAAGAAAATTCCTGGCTGTCGGTACTGCGGAGACCAAATATCAGGCCGCATCTCCAGAAATCTATATTCATTACGAAGATTACAATTATTCAAATGCCGAGAAATATTTTTGAAAGAAAGTGCAAGTCCATCTGGAGTAGCTTTCGAAGCTACAAATTATCATTATCCGGATAACGATGTTTGCATGAATATAAAAATCATTGAATAAAAATTTAAAAAGTAAGGATAAAAAACCTATTAGTCCTATAAAACATGTACAGAATACATATACAGACACTCGGCTTAATACCGGCTAATTCCAAGTAACTTTAGCTTTCTTTTTGTTGTATAATAGAATGTTTGCATAAAAACCCTTGTTTGGAGTAGCGTAGTGGTTGTCGAGGAACGAATTCTTTTTGCCAGTCTAAGAAAGATAGAACACCTAGAAAGACTTGAAAACACCTAGAGAGACTTGAAATAGATCCACCTTTTATTATTCAGAATCTGTTCCTATCTGTCCGTTTGCCAGTTGTGTAGTCTTTTGTTCAATCTACAGCTTGCAACTAAAACTAAAAATCGTTTGAAGTACAGCTTCGAATTTTGCATTTATCTCTACTGAGATATTATATAATACTTTTTAAATATTTTCTTGGCCGTCTAATCACATCAAAGATATGATCTAGGAACCGCGCGTTCATCAAATTGAATGAATGTTTCGCATCTTACTCAAATTTCCATAACAGTGACATATGTTCTTCGACACAGGATAACATTGCAGTTTCCAACATATTTTCAGTTATAAGTTTATCCACAGTGTTTTTGCTTAGATGTGTCAGAGCGATATTCTCCCAGGAACCAGAGCACTCCACAATTACATCTCTTACGCTACGCTTCACAGGATTTTTAGTAAATCTATTGCAAAATTCTTTTCCTTATGACCACAGCATCCTTCTTCTCGCATCATTGTATATGTGTTCCAAAGATGTGAGAATAAGAGTCCAATTTGTTTACAATTTTTAATATTGTTCAAGTATCGTTTCTATGCTAAGAGTTAAGAATATATATATATATATATATATATATATATATGTATACATATATGAATTTAATTTATCATTTGCTTCTCTTATTATATTAAGTACCTCGTTATAAAAAAAATTTATAGTATGAGCGTTTAATTTTAAACTCAAAGTTTTCAAAAACAATATATAATGAATGTTTGTAATAATTGAACACATACAAAACTGGAACCACCACTTTTTTAACTTTTAACAACTAAATGCTAATTATTAACAAGTGCATATTTTTTGTGTCGATTTACGTAAAATAACAGGCCTGTGCTCTGGAGTTTATTGTTAATGAAAACAAAGGTTCAACTCTGTTAAAATGCAAAGCCTTATCAAGTTGTGTTGTTAAATTTTTTTGCAAGCTTTTAGTAACTTTTACGGCAACAACTTACACTCAGTACTAAATCAAGTTGAAATTATTTGTCTTCGAAAGCTCTAATTCCAAAACTTTCGGAATTACAAAATAGCATTTTGTAACCGAGTAAAAGCTTTCGATAACTACTTAGATAAATATTTATGTAAAGTTCTTGAGCTGAATAAGAATTCATTGTCTTTGATTATAAAGCATTGGACAAAAGTTGTCCTAAAAGTTTAGCGAAGACAACGACACATTTTCGAAATTAAAAAACTGAACCCAAAACTTGTTGGAACTTGCAGGAATCTAGATGCGAACTTGTTGGAATCTGGATGCGAACCGGTGGTCACAACTTTATATACTTTATTTATATATATTTTGGTTATGATTTAATGCTTATGTACATAGTGCAAAAATTATTTGAAAAAAAAATGAACTATAAATAAAAACGTAGGTATAACTTACATCTTAGTTTATAAAATATCGTTTGGTATTAAACACTAAACTATGTCCATTTCCAAGTCGCTGTCACCTTCGCATTCTAATAATTTTCTCTTATCATATGCATGTGTCGTAATTAACTCACTACGTTTTTGCGTGGACCTTAGTTTACCCGTGTTTGCTACTGGACTTTGTGAATATAAATAGATGGCAAATGATACTACAGCGATGGCTAGAGCTGTATTTATATAAATATTTATATAAATAGAAAATAACACAATATTGCAGTGAATACCAATTTCAAGGCACTCGCAAACGATTTAAGTATTGAATTCATGTATTTTAAAAAGAAACTAGTTACCAAACCAATTGCGGCATTATTCACTACACCGTAAGTGTATATCTCGATTATAATAATGGTTACAAATGTACTTGCAGCTGATAAACTTTCGAACAAAACTATCAACATTAGTGTTAGTAGCATTTTGCTTATAAAGCGAATCGGGTAGCATTTTTCGGAGTCCCTTCTATAAAAAGGAAAAGGAAACTGATTGTTGTTCGTATTTGTGAAATGCATAACGATTATGGGCCAAAAATTAAAACTCGTTCAGTAGTTTATCCAGACCACAACAAAGTATAGCATATTGCATTCACGTCAGTTTAAAGTGCCAGTCAGAAATGCGTAGTATTTATAAAAGATTTTAAAATGTCTTAGAGACATAACGAATAAGAAAATCAAAAAAAAAAAAAAAAAAAAAAAAAAGAAAAGAAAAGAAACACAAAAAACATGAATATGATTAAAGTGATTAAAAATAAATAAAGTAAATTAAAAAATAACAATTAAAGAAGTTGCGAATATTGGAAATGCAATAACAAAATAAAATATTAAAGTTATATTTTGTATGACAATATTTTTCTACTTTTTTTTTTTACGAACTAAGTGAAGAATTTCTTTAACTTTTCAAATTGTAAATATTTTGAAAAAATTTCTTGTGTGAAATTCATTTTGTAATTAAAATCTTGTGTGAAATTCGTTTTGCAGTTAAAACATCCGGTAACCGTTTTAACGTCTCTTTCGTATTTCAAAATAAATGTGCATCGAAAGATTTTTACTTACCATGCAAGAGCATTAAACTTACAGTGAGCTTATGAAGGCAGGTGCGTGAATCAGTGAAGCGTGTAAATATGGATTTATTTTTATTGTTATCTCACATACACAAATAAACTTAATACATAGGCAATGAGTTCATCGAATAGTCTACTTTCAAGATTTTCGAACTGATAACTTTATGAAATAAATATATGAAATAAATATATCACATAAGGATAAAAGCATTTTGATTAGTTCATTTAGATATTCTATATATTTTGTTATGTAATATAAGGATGTGCAGGGGTTTTCATATCCCAGCATTTGTGCGTAGTTAAATTTGTTTCTGTTATTGTCTTAGTGTTCCCAATGCATAAGCATTCTTGGAATTCAACAAAACGTGTTTATTTAATTCTTTCACTTTTGCTTGCGGATTTTCGAAAAGGAGCGCGAAAATTCGGAAATAAGTATCGGAGATTTTTTTTATATACCATCATCGCCGCGCGATGTGCAAAACGATTTGTGCATGCTCGTTAGTAAGCGAGAAAAAATGAAGCCGAAACTTGATTTAAGCATTTGCTCGACTTTATCAAAGTCGAAGACAAAGTTGGAAAGTGTGCGTTATGTGGTCATTTTTCACTTTCACTTCACGTTCTTAGTTCCGAACACGTTTGCGTCTGAATTTGATAAGTAAATAAAAAAAAAAAAAATTATTATATGCGCACTTCAATGCTTGGCTAACTGTTTGCTCAATAAGTTTTTGATATGTGGTATCGAAAGATATATATACACAAATGATTGTGTAAGTTGGATGGCACATGCATGTATCGTCAAGCATAAGTGTGCCGATTTGTCGATAGATATTTAATCTTCAGCCTTAGCATGTAAATGTGTTCATGACTGAAGTTTATATGGCAATTATTAAATACATTTAAAGCAATTGTTTCTGCCTTTCCGATTCCGAAAGTATTTATTATGACTTTTGTTAGCTGTTATCGAGCGAACCATTTCGCCATGAAATACTTTAGGATAGAAGTCGAAGAAAGCAAATGTATCCTAAACTCCAAAAAGAAATAAAAAAAAAAATCAATTTATGAATCCAATTAAGTGAGCAGTGGCGCAGTTGACTGCTTTTAATTTGTACTTGTTTGGCACGCTTAACATTGTTTGCATCTACCAAGCTCCTTTTAAGATTCCTTTGTAAGATACTGTGCAACCAATGACCTCTTGGCTATCTTCAACTGATCTGGTAAATATAGTTGCATCGACCTGAAGCAGTGGTAATCATGAGGAGACAGACTCAAGGAATGGTTCGCAATCATGTTAAGTTCCCAGCCAAAGTTGAAAGGAAAATTAATTCGGTTTAGAATTTTTGACAGACTTACTTTTGCGCTGAATATGGATTGGGTTGATGCGATTGCATTCCCTGGAGGTTTCTAAGACATACTTTTCAAACTAATTGGAAAAATCGCACTTCTCAAGCGAAACGTTTCAGCAAAACGGTCATTGGCATCACTATCAATAAATTTTGACGGACGCTGTCCTTAAGAATTATTTGTTCATTTGTCATTGATTTGTAAAGAATAAAAATGGAGGGCAACCTATAAAAAATATTTTTTGAGAAAAGTTTCGCTAAATTTTGCTGGAAAGATTTAGACCATTAAGTGGTGCTTACTGTTGTTGCTACACTAACTCAATCTAATTAACCTGATTGACTGTAGTCGAATCTACTTGGTTTGTGTGACCCCTTTCTCTCTCTCTCTCTCGCTCTCTCTACGGGATCAGGCGTACGTTGAGCAATCAACAGCTTGGAGATATTTACTGAAAATTTTGTTTGAAATTTACTTTGTAGATTATTGTATAGACGGCTTCCTCGTTTCTATGTTTTTTTAATTCTATATATCATTTGTGTGTATATTTGTTTCTAAAAAACCAACTACCACTTAGTATAATTAAAATATTCTGCAAGAACAATAATTTCAAATTATGGGAAGCAACAAAGTTAAAAGATAAAGAAAAGTCGCCTTTTTGTAGTACTTAGTTACATATTTGCAATCCATACCATAAAAACCTTCTAAAAATTGCATAAAGCTGATAAACGTAAATGGAGTCATTGCAACAACAGCCAAAGGTATATAAGTGCATACATGCCTGCGTGCGTCTGCATAACTAGTGTATGGCAAAAACTACGAATTGTTCGCAAAAATTGAGAATCACAACAAAAAATTTTAATCTTATTACAACCATTAACCTTAATGCACAAAAAAAAGGAAAGAAAATCAAAACAAACAAAAAGTGCAAAAAAATTCTGCTTATTGACGACACACATACAGGAAAAGATTTTTTTTGTCTTCTAATGGTGGGGTTCCTCCGCAAGGGAAGATGCGTTCAAATTGCACATGCATGTGCATGAATGTGTTGTGCGCCAGAGTACAGAGCACGTAAATAAACCATAAATAGTTTTACAAGGTTGCAGAGGCACACTTGCAGACGCTATTGCATGAACGCATGAGCACATGTACAAAATTAAATACAAATTATATTTATAGGGCTTGGTTTCTTTGTACCAGTCAAGGACGATTAATGCTAATTTAGTTGTGCCATTTTTGGCATGTAAGTATACTGTACAACGGATCTAGAGGACGAGCTGCACGCTTTTAACTTAAAAGTCATGTTTCTTCCTGTTTTTGGTAACTTATGCTCTCACGATCGCAAACAGGAATACGAATATATCTCTCAACATTCTAACTCACAGCTATCTTTACACGAGCTTTCAGCTGCTTGTGTATCTTATGAATAGAGACATATTTTTAATTACATAAAAGGCGAGTCCAGTATGCTTACCATGCTAAGGCAAATAGTGGCGCCGTTTATTGAAAGTACTTTGTCGAATTTAGTTCGAAATCAGTTAAAGCTTCAAATTGAGGGACGGTTGTGGTGACTGATGTATTGGGATCAACACTCGTATACTGGGTTCAAAACATCAATCCATCCGATCCAAATTTTTGACATCCCTTCAGAATGGCGAAACACTATTACTCAATGAATTTTGTCGAGAAGTTTTGAAAATTAAACATTTTTTTCATACGATTTCTGTTTTAAAACGAGGTGTTATATGGACTCATAGGCTGAATAAAAAACATGGACAAACGGACAAATTAAATTAAATGGACTCAGAAGACAATTCTGAATGGATCGGTTTAACAAAAGAAGACAGGTCCATCTTGAGCGCTTCTCGTATTTGTATACGTCTGTGTCCCACATTACGAGCTGTGCAATACATAAAAAAACGTGAAAAATTAAATGCCTTTGTAGGTTGTTTGAAAAGTTGGCGCGCGCTGGTAAACACTCAACAAAATTTTAGTCATTTTGAAGGCGCAATCATTGTTTGACAATCGGATGTACCGATGTGAGTGTCATCTGGTTTTGAATGTGCTTGCACAACTTAAGGAGGAGTGTGACGTTATGCATGGCCAAGGTGACAGTGAAGGTTCGGGTCATCCAAAACTGTAATCACTTATGAAGCTATCAAGCAGCAAAGTCAAGACGACATGTGTCATATATCGAGTCACGATTTAAATATAAGAAATGTGTTCGCACATTGGCTGCCGCGTTTGCCCACTTTAGGAGGAAAGAGCTGCGTCATTAATGGACGGCTTTAATGGCAATATTCCATGAATGGAACTTCGATTTGTTTGTCGGGCTCATCCTATTTCGCAGATTTATCCTCCAGCGAATATTATTTGTTAACATATATCAAAATTATTAGGTGTACAAATTAATTCTGTCCTTTGCATTTGTTGTTGTTATTGTGCTGTTGTTGATTAGTATTGTTTTAAATGAAAATGCAGTAAGCTATGAAACAGTTGGAAAGTAGTTTGCGAGATTTCGTGCAAGAAATTTCATCCTTGAAAATAATGAAAATTGACATACGCCCGTCCGTTCGATTCCAGCAAAAGTAGTCAACGAAGTGACCTTCAACCTAGATGGGGAATATCGCCTGATTGCGACGCATTTCTTTTTGATAAAAAACGTGGTTCGTGCGAGGAATGAAACACGAAAGGCAGTAATTATTTTCATTCGGGTTTGCAGTGTAAGTCGGCTACAGAACGTAACAACAATTTAATATATTACTTTATTAAAACTCCTCCAGACTTAATATCTGATTTTTTTTTCTAAAATAGACTTGACGGCCTATCTAGCTAGGGCTTAATTATTTGTCTTTTAGTGTAAGAATGTATTTCATTAGTCTAAAATAATAATAATAAAATATATGTATGCATTTGGGTATATTACAAAATGTATGACATAAGTAACATATTTCGAGGCCCTGGTAGAGAATGAATGCAAAAGAACAAATAAATGAATAAAAAGAAAATTATGGAAAAAATTATTAAAAACTAATGACAATAAAATGAAAGCAAATATAATCTAAATATGTGCACACAGGCGCATTGCATTATTCAATTAAAATTAAACGCACGCAAAATAAGCAAATATGTTAGAACAAAATGATAATGTTTTAAATGCAACTAAGCAAGCGACTAGAATTGATCTTTCAACTGCGCAGGGCAGGGCGATGCGAAATGAAAAAATAAAAGATTTATAGGCTTTGATTTTGATATGATATCTTTAATCAAACATCATCTGACGGTAATGTGGTCGTTATTGATATTTTCCGTAGTAATGCTAATGCATAATACGTTTATCGCGCCCTTGCCGCTGCTGAAGCCGTCCTCATCATATGCTTCAGCGGCAGCTTTAGAAATAATCTCAACAAGACCAACTACTCTCTTTATTACATCGTCGTTGTCTGCCTCAACGACGCCGTCAACCATATCGCTAACGAAATTTTTTATTAATGCGAATCTTAGCAAATATTTGCAACAATTAAATCATCACCAATATCAACAGCAGCAATATCCGGCGGAGTACTTTTCACCATCGAATAATTTGTTTAGAAAGGCATCTTTCACCTCAAGTAAGTAATATACAGTTGAATATTTATAATTTTTTTTCTTTTAAATGAATAAATTATATTGAAAATTTTAAATTGTGCTTAATAAAGAGTTTAAAGAATTTCGACTTTTTTCTACTATATATCGCTTATTGAGTACATCTGTACAATTAACCCATTAACGTCGTCCATACACATTTGTTTATATTTCTTTGAGGCCTGACAGGATATTTCTTATTGATAAGCATTCAAGTATTGATTCCTATGCTATGAAATACTGATTCCTATGCTATGAATACTGACGCCGTAACGCGCGGTAACCCTTCCAAGCGGGATGTTATTAACGTGATATTCGCATTCCAAACTTTACTGTATTGTGTTTCAAAGCCTTTTTTGTATTTTTAAACCGGTTCCCTACTTTTATGTAAATAACCAAGTGTTACTTACTGACAAAATTCCGCGACAGTTCACCTTTGGCCAATAATGCACACATTGAGCTCTCGTTAAGCAAAGCTAGGTCCGCGCTTGGTTTTATAAAGAGGTGGCCCAAAGAGCTTGATGATCCTTACATTACTAAAAGGCTGTACATGTGTTTGGTTACACCTATGTTTGAGTATGCCTCTGTTGTATGGTCTCCTTCATATAGGTGCTATGTAGATTCAATTGAATTTGTTCGAAAGCATTGTTGCTGTTTGCCTTTAGGAATTTGGGTTGGGATCCGATTGCCTCTCTTCCCCCTTTTAAAAAAATAGGTTGCTTCTGTTGTCCTTACCGTCTCTCGAGAAACCCAGATTTGTTCTTGGGGTTTCCTTCGTAATCAAAGTAATAAATGGTGCTATTGACTCGCTTGTATTACTTGGTGAAATAAGCTTTAATGTCCCCATCCGCTTCTCTAGGCGCTTTACCTTGGTTAAGCTTAGTCGATGTAAATATAATTATGAGATATTTAACCCATTCAGAGTTGCTTGCAAGATCCTAAATGACGTCTACCACTTATTCTCATTATCGGACTCTTTAAAGTCCCTTAAAGCAACATTGCTTAATGCACGTAATTTACCTATGTCGTACTTAAACTAGCTCTTAACTTTAAAATGTCACGACGAGTCGAAAATGAATTGTTGTAACTATTATCGGTTGCCAAGCTTATGAATGTTTGCGATGGCTTAGAGTTTCAATCGCAATTTGGTCCTGTACCGGTTGTGGGTGTGCCTCTATGCTAATGGTGTACATGCTTTTTTTCCTTTGTTTCTTTTTTTTCCTTCTTATTTGTTTTATTGTACATATACTAAGCTTTAATATCAATTAATTTAAGATTTGCTTTAAGAGTCAATTGAACCTCGACCGAAAGAAATATAATAAAATACATACTATTTCAAGCATTGTCCGTCGGCAACCGGTAGTTTTGTATGCCGTTTTGACGGAAAATAAATTCTGCGCTGAGAGAACAAGTTACTTGTTAAAGGAAGGGATAGATCACAGTTAACAACATAACGAAACCAGACAGAAGACACGTTTGACTGAGTTTCATTTATTATTTTCACGATTTGTGCTATTCCTGGTTACAACGAGCGACTCTGAAGCAATTGTTCGCGTTTAAAATAATTGCCTTCTATCGATTTCCATTTTTATAGCTTTCAGCTTTCTTGTTATTGAATGATCCTCAATTCAGAAGTCCTTTGGAGCTATTTAACTCCTAATGATCTCGAAAATTTTTTCCTTTCTTCAGTTCAGTGATTAATTTTCAAATATTCAGCACTTTTCGTGTCAGGACATTACTTTTAAAGCTTGGAGCAAACATCAGAATCATTGCAGGTTCTTCAGGGAAAAGATGCCTTTAAAGATATGGTAGCGGAGGTAACTATAAAGAAGTAAATAACAACTCAGAAAAATCTCTTCCCGCACATTTACATCCTTCCGCAACATTTTTATTTTGTTTGTATTTTTATGGCACGTGTTCTATCCTGCTGTGATATTAAAAGCAAAACCAACGAATCTGCAGAGATAAATAATCATAACGTCCATGAAAACAAATCTGAGCTTCGAACATTTATTGAAACAACCAGGATTTTAATTTGTGAGCATGAAAATGAAATTTATATATCTACACGGGCGCCATATTACATAATATGCTTTTGAAAAACAAAATAAATGTTTCCTAACTGATCTTATTGACGAAAGCACTACCAGTAGAATAACTAATCTTCAAAGAAGGAAAGACGTGAGACCAAATTACATTACGTTAACACGTTTTTAACGTGTATTTATATTTATATTTAGTTATAAACACTAAAAAGGAAATTTATACAAAAATCTGAAAAATGTCAAATGCTTTCTTTTTTTTTAATATTTAATTTTGTTTTGCTTAGGGCTTTGGTAAGATCTTTGATAGCTGCTACTAATTCTTATTGTACTTTCAGGTGTTCCTCTCGAAATTTTTGTCCGCTGTTATGTCTTTCTTTAATAACTGTTGCGAGTCTGTTTACGGCATTAAACTCAATGTAAATGTAGTTCTAAGCTAAACTTTATATCTCTTCAAAAATAAAAATAAAAAATAATTTCTTCAATTGCATTGAAGGTCAAAATGCCGGATGATGCTTGAAGAACTGTCTGACAGTTGAAATCGCTATTAATAACTTGAAGTTTACTCTGAGACATTAAAAAAAAAAAATTTCTCGTAAGTTTACGTTCGAAATAAGCTCAATCCTAAATATCCTAATAAGGTAAAATTTTTAATTTTCTTGCCTTCCTTTCCAATGTCAACATTATCATCGTCAGCGCCTTTAGCAAAATGTTTATCTTGATCAATTTGCTGCAAGTCATCAAATTGTGTATTGTCGTCTACTGTACTGTAAAAGAACAACATTCTCATGCTCCATAGTATGGAGCGGGGGTACTCGATTTCTTTTAATATCAAAATGAGAGGTTTTGTCGTAGAGGCGTATGGGCGTTGTAGGCGTGTATGCGACTAGGAGAATGTTTACAATAGACATTGCACAGGCAGACCGACGGACTTGCTTAAATTGATTTAGGATTTGATGCTGATCAATTTGTGCTGTATCTGATGCTTTCTTCTGCGCGTTGCAAACGTTTTGACAAAATGACCCCTCATCCTTTTGTGGTGGTTATAAAAAGTCACAGTGCGAACACAAAGTTCTTTATTTTCAAATAACTGGTTTACAAAATATTGCTTAAGTGTTCCCCTATTTTTTTTTTTTTTTGACTACTTAACAATTTGAATAAAATAATATTTCGTTTTATTAAAAAAAAAATGAAGAAAATATGTAATCCCTTAACACGTTCGCTGACTGTATAGATTCCAGTGCAAGAAACGACAGTCAACTTATTTTAAGACTAGTTGTGGCATTTGAAATCTGATTACAAATATTTTGTAACGGTAGCCACAAGGTAATAGAATATATGTAATGAATGTTTTAACATCTACAATGATAAAGATCCAGATTTTTCAATTACTGTTAATGTATTAAAGTTATATAAAATTGAACAAAAATAATTGGCTGTAAAATTTGAATGGTTGAGCATTCGTGGCATACATACAAAAATAGTTCATAACTTTATAGGGATTTTTTCCTTGAAGCGCCCCGCAAGAGCTATTCTATATGCGTGCCTTACAACCGTTCTTGTTGGTTCAAAAATTAGAATGATTAAAATGACGAATTCGGACGTTAATGGCAACCAAAAGAGACAGGCCTTGGTATTACATGTAAACATATGTAAATGTACGCAAGCATACGTAAATCGTTTTTCCTTTTTATCATAATGAAAGGACAGAGTTCGGGCACGTTACATGCAACGATAAGATCAGAAGGAAGAGGTCATTTTACCCCAATTCCCTACAGTGTTATTAATGAATTACCTTCGTCTTGGTCTGTTCGTCCATCCATCTGACATCCGTCTATGTATTTTCATATTCAACGCATAGAACAAAAATTTTACTTTCTTTCGTCAAATTTAATACATCGGCGTAATTTGGCTCAAGGATGAACGCTATTGAAATGGTTCATATAATAATATTTCGCCATTCTAACTTGCTGAGACGAATTTCCTATAAGGCTTCCCATGAAGAAAAAGGGGTAATCGTGAATATTTTATGATGAAAATCGGTTCTTAGTAGCAATGTAGAAATGTAAGTCTATTTTTTAGATCTCACCACATATAACGCTTACTATGAAAATCAAGCCCTTAAATGGCGAGAAAGTCTAATTTGTAGTCTTTTATGACGAAAACAGTTGAAAACTAATAAAATCTTTAAAAAAAAAATTATGTTTGCGAAATTTTGGTTGCGCCTTGCCCTGTCTTGGGTGCCGCCCATTATGCGGGCTTTCATTAAGAGCATGCCTTTACGTTAAAATAGTGTATAACTTTTGGTGTATTGTTACCAAGACGAGTCAACATTTGCGCAAGGCGAATTGTTGCATGCTACCTAAGGGCCGGCGTTGCGTCCTTACGGGTTATTTCTTGTATTTGGATGTTAAACAGAATGATAGCGAAAGATCAATACGATTTCCTTGTCCTATTTTATGTACAATAACCTGCTTTAACCAAAAAATATTATTTAACTTGAACAACTTTGAATTTTATTTAATCTACTTGAAAAATGGCTAAAGACAGATTCTTTCGTGTCTTGGCCAAAGCTAGTAACGATTTATTTCATATATAATGACGGCAAAAGCTGATAATGATTTTTATTAAAAAACAAAGTAAAGGCCTCTCGACCATTAACGAATCCATTAAAGAATCGTGGGCGCGGCTGCAGTGACTGCCACCATTACAACCATCAGCTTCGCATTGGCAGCAAATGGGATAATCGATGTGATAGCAATCCATTGTTACTCCGCACCTACGTATTTTTACGTAAAGACCGACGATATTGGCTAGAAACATGCGAGAATATTCTTATATGGATGTAACGAATTTCAATAACATTTTCTTTAATTACGATGTTCCATTTCCATCAATGAACACGAGCTTTCATAGCAGACATGCAAGTATTTACGTTGACCAGG